ATCAAAGTGACGAAAGTCGAGAGGGGTACAGAATAATAATTCACAGATGTGACAGAGACAGAGAGACAGACAAGAAGGCAGAGAAAAGGTAAGATGAGTACTGTGAAAGGGGTCGAATTTGGCATACAGTGGGGTGATGGTAGTTTGAAGTCAGAAGTCAACTGCCAGTTAATAGACTTTTTTGCCGTATGAGTTAACGTTGCCCAGGGTGCACCGCGTGGAGGTAAGTCTATCGCACACCCCATAATAAAAATATAAATTCAGACATATTAATTGGAATCCTTGGCCAAGTCACTTCTGACCAGAGTATTTCAGGCGGTATATGCACGTGAAAGACCATCAGCATTTTTAAAAACGAAAACTGAAAACGATGTCGTGTCTTTTCGTCTATTACTATGCGCTTTGACCTCTCAATTGCCACTATCTGTGGATAGAAATGCATTTAGTGTGAAATTCCTAGTGAATAGTTGAAGTTCACGTAAATGAAACCGAAACGTGGTAACATGGATGCAGTAAAAGGATGCTATTTAATCTTAACTTTTTCGTTGGGTTCTGGTCCTAATTGAGCCTAAGTTACACCTTTTGAGATAGTGGATTGGAAATGCTTCCTACTACTCACCTGCTAATTGAGTAATTTTCCATGAAGAAGACTAATGGTGTTTAATCCCTTCCGTTTTCAGATTGCTAAGTGCTTCAGCCGTCTTCACGATTCCAAACATACCAAGTTCCAGCTTGATCATCCTGGTTACCATTCTCTCCTCTCTTGGTGTTCCAGTCAACTATGTTGGCCTCCTTTTTGCCGTCGATTGGTTCTTGTAAGTCTCAAACAACCTTCACCCACTTTAAGTTCTGCGGAGAGGACAAAAAGTGACTAAGTGAAGAGGAGTGAAGGAGAGAATGATGTCAGCATTTCATAATGAATGCATTTGATTTGAATGTCGGGTCCATTACTAAGGGTTACTCGTTATGTCACATGCCAACGTTTCAAAGTCAAAATTGAAGAATAAGTCCCCTTGGTCATTTGAGTGTGCTTACACCCTCTATGTTACGGGCTTATTAACCAATACGAGAAAAGATTACTATTGTTTTTAAGTTACGCCACAATACCCTCCCCTCCTTGTACTGCAATTTGGAACACTTGCAGTGCTAATTTCTTAACCATAAAGTCGGGGATGACTAATGCTCCATCCTAGTGACCTTAATGAACACTAGTAACTTACCCCAAACGATGAGTCGGAAGAGGAATTGTGTATGCATGGGTTTTGTTTGTGTAAGTCTGCTGTTTGGAAGATTTTCTACTATAAACTATCGAATTGTGTCCGAAGTAGATTGAGGATTAGTAATTAGATGGTGAGTGGGGTCACCTCATCTCATTTTTGTACGTATCCTCTTCTTTTCTCCTCAGAGATCGGTGCCGAACAACAAACATCGCCCTTCTACATCTCTACACTGTTGCCTTTGCACATTTCACATGCAAAGGCAAGTTGAATGCGGTGAATTCGGATGAAGTATTGTCTTCAGATTTGAAGGGAGTGGGCGACGTTGGGGAAGAAGTTGGTGCATCGGTTCCCTTGAAAAAAGTTAACTCATCGGAGCAAATGGTTTGAGGTGATCAACAGCGGTTTATTACAAATCCCGTCCTCTTGTGTTATCACTGAAATTCACTTTCCAGATATGTTGTCTCGTTCATTTTTAAATACGTTAAATTGGAAATTCAGGCCTTGTCTTTGTCATGACGAGGCGTCTAAGGCAATGGCCTTGTGTCTTTGTCAACTTTAAACTTAGATGATCAAAAAGCATATTTTCAGTACACTCGGTTGTCAGATTTCTATTCTTAGAACTGGCTAGAACTTATGAAGAACCCATTATTATCTGTGTTGAATAGGCAACTCTGCATTAAAAATCTTTTATGAAGCAAGGCACGCTGTTCGAGATGTAAGACCTTCTGATTACTTGTAGCCATATAAAGACAACTGGGGGTTATTAAGATCCCAAAACTAAGCTAGTTGAGGGGGCTCGAACTGTAGACTAATTGGAAAATGTGAACAGTTGATAACTAAGTGTGAGAGGTTAGGCGAGTCAAGTGATGATTGATTGGGCATGATCGGGCTTTTTAACCATGCCTTAATTCTCGTGTTTTCCCCAGTGCATTGAAAGAATTTTTCGAATTTGGGGGTTGGATATATAAATAAATAGGGTCTGACTCAATAAAGGAATCTGTGGCTCGAGTGAGGTTCACTTGCATTAACTTAATCAAAAAGTAAAAATTTGATTGAGAAGCAAGGCTCTGGGGTTCAAATAATTATTAACTAGTCGGGTGATCGGATGTTGCTGCATATTGATTATGTAGAGAAATTGTGTTAGTTCGGGCCTTAGTTGGATTCAGCGCCTTTTGATGCACAAGTTTAAAATTTGATAAAATTTCACCATATATGCACCCGGATACAGTGTTAAGTAATTTCAGTCGATGCAGCCTGAATCTGTAAGCTAGAAAAGACGTAATAGAGGTTCAATTGTATACCTGAGAGACCTTGACCGATAATAATCTAGT